ACATCAATAAAAATCGCGCAAACAGAGCCGGTCAAACAAGAAACCAAAACACTGTATAGAAAAGCTAGTATAAATTTTAATAACACACATTTATATCGCACAGGTTAATAGAACCAAAAAAGAAACATTGCAGGAAACAAAAATTAATTTCATTCGCTACCTCCAAATTCAGATCACGCCTAAAACCCAGCGCGTAAACGAAGAAACAAATGTACACGTTTCATCCCCGGGAAATACAGAGAATTCACCCCCTCGTCAAGTGCGAGACAACAAAAATGTCCAAAACAAACTCCACCGTACCATTTCAGCATCCCGATCGCCGCCGATTCAATCCCATTAAGGGGATAGGCTATTAAACGGCAATCCGTGTGGGAGTGGGGCTGAAAGTCTCCGCTAAGGGGTTGGAAGTTCATCGCAGCCCGTGGCGGCCGTCTTGACCGAGTGAACGCCGTTTAATTAAGATAAAACCAAATTCGCGAGTTCGTGGCTCGTGTACAGGCACACAGAGAGACCAACAGAAAGAGAATGAGAAAGAGAAAGAGAGAGGTGTGTCGAGAGTGAGAGGAAAAGAGGGGTCCGGGTCTATTCGTGACCGGAACCGTGGCTCCGTGCGAAAGGGGCGCATCTCCAACCCCCGTCGGGCTCGCTTTACGAATGGGCAAGTTTAAGCGAAGCGTAAGTTCGTACAAGTTGCAGCCCCGACTCGAGTATCCGTCGTAATAAATTGCTAAGCCGTTCCAGGAGCCACTCTCCGAACGTCCAATTAATCAGGGATGTTAATTTCGTCCGGGCGCGCGGGACTTCGGGGCAGGGATTTTAAGCGGGCGCCGATTAATTGTCGCCCTTTGATCGCAAATAATTATCGCTCGTAATACCGTTTTCCCTGGTTATTAATCGACTTTCAGCCCGGTCCCTGCGATTCTTTCCTCGAGGCGCAACGGTACCGTTGCACCGCTTCGAACTTGCTTCTAATTAAATAGCTGCCCCTTGGAAGGATCCGGCCGCGGATACGGTTGTTTAACGGATGGTTATGTAATGGTGCTTGAGTTTTGTTGGGTGAAATTGTATTCTGCTTGAGTTTTCAATGTTTCTTGTAACCTGTTCTGTGGTTTGGTGTTTATTTTTGGTTTTATTGTTATTGTTAGATAAGTGAAATTATCAAGTAGAATAATTGTTAGTAGCATATTGGTGGTAGAATTATTAGGCAGTAGAGTTGTCTAGGATGTATTTCCTCGTGAAAAAGTGAAATTATCGATATTTCGATTCTATTTGAATGTATGTATCACTGAATTTAGTAATTTGTAATTGAGTAAGATTAATTAGTGTATTTACTAATTTCTCAGGAAATTGTCTATATATTTCAAACAATAATATATAAGTAATTTAATAGTTCTAATATTAACCCTTCGACCTACAATATCGTGTCAGACTCGTGACGAAAGTATTCAACTGAATTTGAGAAATCTAAGTGTTACCCATTATTTCCGAATATAAATTAAACATTCCTTTTCTATTATCAATCGTTAACCTTTATAGCAGACGCAGACACAAGCATCAGAATCTGTTCTTTCCCTAAGCAATTATCAACGACAAAGTAATTCTATTAACCATACTGACGAAATAAATCATACAGCAACGAGTTAACGTCTCAAACACACCATCGTCAAACTGCAGAAACCATCAACTTCAGAATAATTAACAATAAACCAATCCCACCCAATAAACAAACCGCAAGACGTGAAACAACAAAACAGTTGACCTTTTCGCGAATCGCGAAGTCCTAGAAACTCACTCACCGATCTATCCATTAGATCCCGTGATCCACGCCCCTGACGCGGAACACGCGTTCACGTGACCGTCGCGTCGGTCAAGCGATAACCAGGAAAGGACGTAGTTGTACGCCGACGGGAAGTGGGCGGGCCACGTTAATAAACAAGACAGCGGTGATCGCGGGCTCGATCCGCGGCCGAGTTTTCCGGGGCCAGCCCGTAAACGAAGTTAGCCCACGGCCCGTTATTTTGGATTACGCGGGGATAGGGGTGTCCGGAGTCCTAATGAAGGCACGTGCTGCCTTCCTACCGGTAGCCGTCGCTGGCACAGCCTAACCTGGCCTGGCTGGTCTCTCTCCTTTGTCGGCCGCGACACGCCGGGGCTTTGGACCAGCTAGACACAGTTTAATTAAGCGAAACCAGAGCGTTACGTCGCCTGTGTATGTATGTACACGTGTCGGTGAACACCCACGCGACCCCGCAGCTACACGGTTACCGGAGGCAGCTGCGCGAGGCTTGACCGTGCCCCCTATCCCGCTTGGTCGCGCAGGATCAGGAGTTTAAATACAACCCCTAAATGCTAAACGTGCGGGAATGCTCGGACAGAAGGTATCGCGGACCTTTGCTCGTGATTCACCCTGCCATCATTTTTGCGTATGGTTTAGATAAACAAGATGGCAATAGGTGTAAACTGAATGGATATTAAGCCTGCCATCTCGTCAGAGCTGCACTTTAGTCATGTGTTATGTGGGATAGCTTCGGTTGGGAACACTAGGTTTACCAGTTTACGGTTTAGTGTAAATTATTGCGTACTGAATTTTTTAATTATTGTTTGGCGAATGTTTATGTTGGTTTTGATTGATGCGATTACATAGATAGGTACCGTAATTGTGTATTTTTAAGCCTCTAATTTGTAAGATGGAAATGGATGAACAATTTTTCTAGGAATAATGAAATAAGTTGCATAATAAATATGAGAAAATCTAGTGTTGAGAAATAAAATGTTAACCTTTTGCCTTGCGGTTTATTTCTTAAGTATGATGGATATAGCTACTTTATTATTAGTAGCTTACTTGAAAAAGAAATATTGATGTTTATTCCATTGTATATCTACGGTTATTCCACAGGTTAACGATTGATAATCGAAGAGTAATATTTAGTTTATATTTAAAAAGAATAAATAAAACTTAAATTTCTCAAATTCAATTGAAAATTTTTGTCAGGAGTCTGATACGACATTGTATGTCAAGGCTTAACACTGAAACTACCGATCAATTATAGTGACTTCTAATCAATTTTTTATCAAAATTAGAACAATACGTTTCTTGAGAAATGTAATGAGTAAGAAATTTAATTGAAAATCTTTCGCAAAAATGACTCCATAATTTAATTGTATTTAATTGTTCAATATGTTTTTGGGAATTTTCATTACAAATATAAATACGAAAATAATGAAATAAATACAACTGTTCATTTACTACTACTCGTACACGAAAACGCAAATACTTCTGGAATGCATTAAGAGTGCGGAACTGTAAAATTTCTACAGCTGCAGCTTTGGTAAAATCATAAATCCTTCAAATGTATTTACAATGTACCTCGTAAACATGAATTATAATCATGTTCGGTTCCACGTGTACTGATAGAAATTGTTTAAATACAATTGTTAGATATCACGATTGAGTATTTGCCGTGATTTAGTACATATCATCAAGTGTACACTTGGAACTCTCGAAAGAAAATTTAAGACACTCGAACGCCCGTTTCTTTCGAAGAACTATATCAGCTTATCTGTACAGCAAATAATAGTGACTTACGTACACAGATTTTCCATCGATCACGCTGATAAGCTCAACGAGACACTCACCTGAAACACAAAAGAAAACGAGAAATTAGTTTCGATATGCAAACATGTACAATGAAACTGATGTTCGCCATGAAATAATAAAAATCCTTATCACTCTGGATTAAGGTGTAAAAATACATCGACTGTTCAATATAACCAACTGTGCAATTTAAAAACAAGTTATGCAATAGCAAGTTTGATATTCACAGAAGAAAAATTCTTTGCCACGCTCAATTGAAGCATATTTTTCAGACTTGCGCACACAATAAAAAGACATCAACTTTTTATTGTATCAAGTGTACCACTTAAAGGCAACTTACATAATAACGAGTTTGGTGTTTAAAGAAAAAAAAAAAGAGTTTCTCGCTACACTCCGTTTAAACATATTTTTCAGTGTTGCATGCACAATGAAATGTCGTTAACTTTTCATTGCACGCGTTATGTAACTTCCATTTCATATTTACTTTCAGCACCATTCTACATCTGTATACGTGCAGGACATATTTTTTAATGTGATACGTGCCCTACATTTTATATTTCTCTTGACTGTTACATCCAAATTCGGAATTCCCATGCAGCGATTTAACTGAAACCGGCAAAATATGCGAATGCACGTGATTCCTTGACAAATTCATCAGTGTTCCATACAAATATTAAATATTTCTATACTTGACTCAAATTTAAAATTTTCCATTTACCAAAATTCTTCTTTTATCTTGCTAAAAAAATGATTCGAGATATTCTCAATTGAAATTCTTAACAATTAATAAAACCTAGACATTAAAACGAATTAACCCAATGTTATTCTATTTATTCAACCAACAATCCCTCTATTTTATTAAACCATAATACCAATATTACTTCTTCACACTCGAAAGTCCTTTTGCTATATGAACATATGATTATCCAACGAAGTATTGATTAAATTAAAGAGAAATACAACCCAAACATCCATTTCCGTACTTCATATCTAACTACATTACACAAAATACGATATTAAACATAAAATTGCATAATCTGCAGTATCAAGCCAGATGGCAACTTTACGTCGTTTCTCCGCTACAAAGGGTTAATATAAACTGCATTGCATCGCCACATTAATTTCATTCGCCGCGTACACTTTCACAAGCATCCATGCTCGAAATAACTCGTTGACAAATGAAGACAATGCGATCAATAAGTTTCTTGCAAAATAAATGAATACTGCAGCGCGTGCACGTGTCATTGAGCTCGCACCTGCCGCGAGTCCTCCAGAGGCTCCTGTCCAGCTCGTTTGGATTCCTCACGGGTGCTCCGGCGATCGCCGACTCGCTTCTATTTTTGCGTGTTATCTGCGCTGATAAGATGCGCGCAGCTGCTTTCGGTCGGATAATAGTCGGCCGGGGAGACAAACACGCTCGGTATCGCTCGTTGCACGCGAAACGCATCGGCCGCTGCAAATTGCCGAGACAAGCGGCGCGCAGTGGTTCTAGAGCGTATAATTAGCAGGGGAAAAGTCGAAAATTGCAGGTAGAAGAATATAAGCATCGGTAAGTGTTTTGTCTACACCCAATTCTGTTTTTACAGGACAGACATGTTTCATGTAGAAAAGATTCGTGTAAAATAGTACACCGTACTTGTAAGATAATAGAGATCGGTTGCGGAATTAACCCCTTGTTTTAGGATATCGTGATGAAGATTTCAAATAGAATTTAAGTGACGTAAATATTATTCAATTTGCTTGAATGCGAAGTATGCATTATTGTTCTGTAATCAGCGATTATACCTTAGACCGCGTGTTGATGTAGACTATGACTGGAATTTTCTCTTCTTTTCAATAAATTATTAGTACCAAAGGAGTTAGATCGATCACAGAGCACAAGAGATAAAATAATAAGATAGACTGTATGAAAATTCAGGTTAGAATTTGGGTGATTCTGTGAAAAGAAAATTCATTTTTACTAATTTGTGTGAGAAGAAACAGATGATTCATGTTTTATTGAAATCGTGTGAAAATTAAAATGGGTTTACTATGTACGATATTTAATGGTAGAACTACGGAGTAATTAGAATGGTTTGTTTAGAATTTCCCATAAAAATTTGAAGAGAATATTTAAAATCTTAGGAACTTAATCTCTTCAAATTTGAGACACCTCTTATTATTGTATTATATTAGTATGTAATATTAATAATCATGAAATAAACATATTAAAATGGATCATTTTGTCTTGCTTATTAATTCTAATGTTAAACGCGTAACACCTTCTGATGTTAGAGTAATCGACAACTAAAATTTTCTTAGTTACGAAAGTTACAAACTTTTTAAATACAAATTACTACAACTTTAAATATTTATGAACGTTATTAATGTGTTTTAAGTAAAACTACTATAATCATAACGATTTAATTTTTCTTGAATGCAAAAACACATAGAAAATAGTATTTTTATGAATGAAATAATTATTTTGGAATTTACCCTCCTCAATCGACAATCTAGACCATGCTGCAACACAGACGCAGCCCGCGAGCGATAAAATTCGCTGTTCCTCTGAAAAAATATTAACGTTCGCTTCATACGTCTCGCTATTCATTTGTGCAACGTTCGCCATAGTTACAATATTTCATTCGACGCAACGTATCTCTTTTATCAAATATTTAAAAAAAATGTTACGTAGGAAATCTCGTTAAATTTCTGGGTATTGCGTCGGTGCGTTGCGGTTTTAAATAAAAATGTACGTAAAGGTAATTTAGTTTTTCCACGCAGCCCGACGTTCGTCGTAAATATGTAACTTTTGTGACAGACGTGTTAACGCGTCCAAGGACGAATTATTTTTCTTCTGTTTTTGAACAGAGAGAGAAGGAGAGAGATGAGTTTTGCTTTTGATTACTCGTACCGCGTACGATTAAAATGGATGAGACTTAAGGGATATAAAAATGCAAATAAAGGTGGATATAATAAAATATGTAATACGAATTTTGGTTTTGATTACTTATACTTTGTGCAGTTCCAGGTAAATGAGAAGCAGAATAAACAGGAGCAGACGAAAATAATTAGGAACATAATAAGAAGAATATTTATATGCATATGTAATCATTGGGTTTACTGTAAAATTAAAATTAAATGTACACACACCAAGAGGGAAGTAATCCTGCAGTGAAAATGTGGAGTTGGTTCTATTAATTAGTGTGTTACAATTATTTATGCAAATTCTGTTTTTCATAGACGATTTCACGAGAAACTGGAAATTTCGCGATGTATGAAATATGTAATATTATAATTCAAGTGTTCGTTAAGTTGTAAATGATGTAAACACTGATTATTCTTGTTTCGTTCTTCTAATTATGAAATCATGTATTCAAATCATTTGATAAAAAAGTATTGTTTTTCTATGCGTATCGAAGACGTAGAAATAACAAGTTATGGAAGAAGAATAAGGAATAAGAGTTCAATTATTAAGTGCTATTCACCCTCACTCATTCCATGCTTAAATCCAACATATTTTATTTCTTTCTGTCCATATCCTCCTAACGACTTTTTCTGTGAACTCAGATACTTAATTTTTCTTGAACTACTTTCATAAATTGTATTACATTCACATCATATATAATTGATCAAAACATTTATACATTAACCCATTGCACTCGACTTATTTTCAATGATGTTGGATGTAAACTTGTATTTATTTTCAGGGAAATGAATCAAAGTAATTTACAGTAGAATGCAACGTTTTATATTTATTTTATTTATAATTATCATCGTAAGATTTAATTTTTATAATCTTTTAAAGCATGGTACTTTTTCAAGTACCACAAATAAAGTATAACAGATTTGTATTGTCATCCCCAGCCTGATTTACGAGTGCAAAGAGTTAATAAAGCACCGCATATATCTAAGCTTCTCTTTACAAAACAAATCAACGAACAAACAAAATGGAAATCCAGGAAAGAAACATTCCAAAATGGAAATCCAGAACACCAAATTTCCACAAAAACGAACTGAAGTTAAACTGAAATGCATTCGAATAAATCCATTACGTATCAGAGCGACGTAATTTCGTTTCCTCGCGCGTTAAATCGAAATCGTGCTCGAAACGTCTAAGGAAAACTATTTTTATTAGCTTCGATACTTGAAGAACATCTCCGTGGATTTCTAATTTTCATAGAATTCCTCTCGAGGTCGATAAACCGCAGGGAAACGTGTTAAAGCTCGCGACACCTAAACGCAATTAAATCCGACCGATCGAGTGCCTAAATCACCGCGAGTCCTCCAATTAGGCAGAATGTATTTATCAAAGGGCGCGGGACACGAGACGCGCATTAATCTTCTAATCCAGACAACGGCGCGATACAAATATCGGTACAAAGAGGACGCGGGTGCTTCTCACTTAATCGTAATTAAGCGCTGCGTCGTCGTCCCGATCGATCTGGCACGCGGTGCAGATGCGACTGGCCTGAACCCTGCTAATGCAATTAATTCGATCGAGTCCTTTCAAGGACGTACAGTTTGCTTAGGAGACCAGTTAGGAATTTCAAGGCTTTCGGCGCGGCTTACGAAAGCTGTTGGAAAAATTTGCAAGTTTCGATTAATCTATTACGTTGAAATAACGTGTTATGCACGTCGTTTTTCTCTATTCTGAAATTACCAACGTGTTATACACGTCGATAGTTTTGCTGCATTATATAGATTATTTTGAAATTAATCAGTCTGTGAAAAATTATTAATCTTGACTATATGAATTAGTTGTAATTAAGTCTCTTTTTATTAGAGAAATCTTAAATTAATCGTTACTGAGGTTTCTATGAAAATCAAATATTGAAACGAATCAGAGTTATGATATATTCATTTCTTGTGATTAAGTAAGATTTAGTTAGAAAATGAAATGAATGGAGATTGGCATTGAAAAATTGAAACTGAAGGAGGGAAAATGAGAGTAAAATCATCGGCTAATTAAAGCATGAAATTGGAAAACTAGGAATTTTTTTATTCATACTACATAAGGGAATATTAAAATATTCAGATATTAATACGTTATAATATTCAAACATTAAAACACTATAATATTAAAATATCGAAAAAATGTGACAAAGAAAATCATTTTAAGAGCAAAAATATGATTTCAAAAGTTATACAGTTTTAATAATAATTTCATAGGAATTTGAGCAAAGATTCCTTTCTCAACCGTGTAAAAAAACGTTTCTCGCGTGCAACAAGCAACTGAAACAAGATTGCATTTTAGTGGCTGTCTAAAAATAGCATTGCGTTAAGATTGTTGATTGGCGGAGTCACCAACGCGTACAAAGGGATATGCAACTTTGCACTCTGCTCTTATCCAATCTGCATCGTGGCTAATCTCCCGCGATTGCACTCGCGTGCATCCTACAGAAACTATCGCGATAACCCGGCCCCGTACCGTCGCGACGACGTGCATTTCGATTTTAACCTTTGGACCAACGGTTTAACAAAGAAGCGAGCACTGGGCGAACGAACGCGCGTATGAGAACAGCTTTGGTTCACTTTCACCTACGCGGGTTCGATGCACTCGAGAGCGCAATTGCAACGGCACGGTGTACACGTCGATGCAGGTCGACAGTGCCGCAGAGAATAATCGTTGGCTGATTTTATATTATATTTCAAAGAAAAAGTTAATTACTTCTTTAATGGTTTCTGACGTTCACCGTGTACTTTCGCTAGAAAGGATATTCATGGTTGAATGATTGATTTTCATGAAGTTCTGCACGCTGATTATAATACGAGAACTAATTTACCATTATGGTGGTTCAGAAATTGTATGAAAGTCTAATGTGTTTATTTAGATTTATAGCCTGTTCAGCTCAATTGCATGAAACAACAATTAAAATTTTTATAAAAGTAAGTTTTTAGATACGGTGATCTTAAAATTAGGAGTCATACTTTTAACATAAATTTCTGCAGTTCTACGTGAAATAAAATCTTATTTTTATGAAGAATTTCAATATGTGAAAAGTAATATAAACCTTTTATGGAATATCTTAATAATTTCGTATTCAAAAAACAAAATTACTGATTTAGGTGACTATGAAATTTATTTTGACTGTGAAACTGATTATAGTGCCAAAGCACTTGAACGATGTTTACCTCTCTGTGTTTGAAATAAATGTTATTAATAATCGTTTTAACATCAGCAAATGGTGGAAAGTATTTTTAGCATGAATCGATACCAAAATTGTAAAATATCCTCTTATATGAAAGAACAAAAAAACAATTAACCCTTTGCACTCTGTAGGCTCCAATATTGCACCAGTTATAATATTAAATATTTTAATGAATCTTAAAGAAACTACACTAAAATTATTATATTCTCTACACATCCAAATTTTCTACTAAGAAGGAAAATAAAAGACCGAAGAAATGTTACAGCATTTCTCATTTTCGCTAGGAATACTATAAAAATTAGTTGCAGTTGCTGATAGATTACAAAACAACCTGGAGTGCTAAGGGTTGAAGAAATTGATTTAGCAATTCGCAAAATGAATTATAAATCAATTAAAGTCTCGATAGATGCACTCTTATAGTTTCTATACAGGAATTTCAAAAAGTCAGTTCAACTAATCGGTAGTTTGTGTTAAGGTGAAATTTATATGATGAATTCTAGGTTCGATACGTTAATTCTGGATTGGTATACCGAGAACTCTGTGAAACAACGATGCGAGAATTACGGAAAAAGATCGGAAATGATTGTCGGTTGGTTCGTAGGCGCGTGCAAATGCGTGGAAAGAGCAACGAGAGGCTCACCGGGCAATATCACGTGCCGCGCGCACGCTCGGCTGACTCTTCTAACGCCTTACAGGCTTATGCAATTGAGTCTCGTTCGAGCTTTTAAGTCTCGTCCTCGTAAGCCGATCGGCAATCACGGAGAACTGTTTTGCTTCGCCACGCCATTATCCGCCTCTGTACGTGGCCGAGGAATAATATCATTTATTCCGGTGCAAGGTGTTCGATCGTCGATTCTGCTTTTTCGGTGGCATCCGCGAGAACTGTCATTTATTCGGCCCTATCCTCTTTTTCTTTTAACATTAAGTATAAAGATTTATTTACGAATATATACAGTATTTCGATTTTCCTGGGATCGGTTCTCGGCGCGCCCGTTGTCGATCAATCTCTCGAAGACTCTCCTTTGTCCTTCGTTTAATACTAAAACCAGCGAGCAGTTAAATTGACTTTTTGAAATTCCGCTATAAAAACTTCAAGAGTGGATGCATTAAAAATTTAATTGATTTACAATTTAATTTGTGTATTACTGAATCAATTTCTATAATTTTTCAGAGGAGTATGTGTTATTTTTTTAATTATTTCAAGAAAAGGACATCAAGAATGAATTAATTAGACCCACTTGGTAGTTTTAGTGTTAATCAATCATCCCTTAACGACCACTATGTTTGCACTTAGCACTCGATTTATTTTCAATGTTGTTGGCTGTAAGCTGGTATTTATTCTTAGGGAAATGAATTAAAATCATTTACAGCATTAACATTCAACGTTTTATATTTATTTTATTTATTATTATCATTATAAGATTAGTTTGTATAATCTTTTAAAGCGTGGCACTTTTTCAAGTGCTACAAATAAAGTATAAGAAATTTGTAATGTCATCGGCAGCATGACATACGAGTGCAAAGGGTTAAACCATCTTCGGGTCGTAAGGGTTCATTCATCCATGCGTAACATTAGTTTCAAGGTATAGCAACAATATTTTCGAGAGTGCTTTTGCAAAATGTGTTGATTTTCTTATGAAATCTGAAATAATTAACTGGCAATTTAACTTTGGTTACAGCTAGATGAGAAGTTAAATGAGGTTCTTGGAAATCTGGATCAAAATTCAAGTACCATCATTCAAGGAGTAAAGTACTAAAGTAATTTGAATATTTTTCACCAACTCGTTATGTTTGAACGGGGTCAGCATTGTTTCATTTTTGAGATTGTTGTTTTTAGTATATCTTGACCCATAGGGTACAAGCAACAATCCTTTTTTTTAGCGAATACTGGTGATTGAAGACTATGGGAAATTAGGTGACCACTTACTATCTGTGAAATATAATATAACAATAATACGAAATATAAACAGTATAGTAAAACTTTAAGAATAATTACAGGTGTCTTATATTATGTAGTAAATTAAACATTACTTGATAATTGGGATCATTTGAACTCTACCTTTTTGAAGCTTCACATAATTAACTAATTGTTCTTAATATATGCAACAAATATGATAACATCTCTTGAAGAAATACTTTTATGAAAAATAACACATTTGACATGTGGGA